ACTGGCCGAACGCCTGCGGGTGAGAGTAGAGCCTCTTGATGTGTCTCAGGTTCGCGAGGGGTCTTGATTTTGGTTTTGACGGCCGTGGATCATTGAGGGTAGGCGTGCTCGTTCCTGATCCGTGGTCGTCCAGGTCCAGCATGGGTGATGGGTTCCTGTGTCCCACCAGGCAGTGGTGAACGTCGACGAAAATTTCGCCGTCCACTGTGATGTCTTTGTACCGGCCGTTGCGGTCGGCGAGGTTGTCGAGAGTGAAGACGACGGAGCCGTTGGTCGAGTTCTCAATGGGAACCACGCCGGCCTTGACCTCACCGAATTGGACTTGGTCAAAGACATCTGGCAACACATTGCGTTAGCCAGTTGAGCCAGTACAGGAGGGCTTTTGCCGCCCATGGTTTGACTGCGTACCATCAATCGTTGCCGCGGGCCTCAATTCCCATGATGACTCTGGGAAGACTTGGCGGACTGCCTGTATGACGAACTTCTGTCAGCTTCGAACCGGCTTTGATGATGGTGGCAGTGATGAGAGGATTACCTGGTGCGAATATGAGGCAATCGGGCCCAGAAAGCTGACAATTGGCTTCTCCAGCGAGGCCATGATGATATCACGGTGCTCACAAGCTATGCAAAGGCTAAAGGTCCAGTGAAGCTTCTTCTCTTCCGTATGATATAGACGCAGTTTGATGGGTCTCGCGGTGAGCAAGCTTCAGTCGACCGGAGCAACGACAAATGCCGAAGATCGGATTACGGCTAACGACCTAGAGTGGATCGGGCACCAGACGGAGATCCTTCTCAATGGTATCAAGATAATCCCGTGCTTGCCCCCGTTTGCTATTTCGGGGCCTTTTTGACCAGCCGAACAAGATGTGCGATGGAAAGGCATTTGGTAGAGAGGCTGACTGAGAGCTGTCGGAGCTTCTCGTTTTGTGGCGCCTGACATAAGGATGATGATGAGTGCGACAGCTTGGATAACCTGTTTTCTCTGGATGGTGTTCAAGCCTAACGGATCTGTGTGAGGTCTTGGTGCGGGGATGTTAGCGGGAGACTTGGATTTATCGCGGGGTTCTCAGAGGCGCCATCTTGGAGCTGGAGCTACTGCGATATCGCGGACAGCTTATTAGAAGAAGAGCTCTGCAAGCTTACGACAATGAGACAAGTTCATAGGCACCTAACTTTAAGAAATTACTAAGATAAATCTTATGGTGTACATAGCTGGCAACATATGAACCGAAGCAGCATGTTGAAACCTTGACGGGCTTCTATGTTTACATGGCATCTCAAATCAAGCCCCGAGGCAGGTACCTAGTAGGTAGGTCTCGACTACTCCAGTAAATGGTCACAGCTGACTCTTCATCCGACTTCTCCCAACAAGCATCTTCAATTCTAAACTTGTCACTATGTCGGGAGACTTCTACCATAATGAGTAGCTTCATGCGAAGAAACTACCTACCTACTCAGGTATCAAGGCGCTGTGACATGAATCTCAACCCATGTGTGATTCGACCGTCCATTCACAGCACCCCGCCAACCCAAATCCAAGGTGACGTGATACGCAAAGTGACAAGCATCACGAGGGCGCAAAGCGAGGGCCTCCGCCGTTTGGAGTTTAGTATTTGACAAAACATGCTCTTGTCTGCTTACAGCGCCTGGCGCCGAAATGTCAGGCAGTAACGTCAGGACTGTTCCGCCGGCATCCAGTCGTATTACTTGTAATATCCTGGCAGCGATTGATTGAACTTGCGTCGGCCCGTCAAGAGCCGTTGCGTGTGATTGGTGCAGTGTTTCAAGCGCCGGGCTGTCACCATGTGAAACATTGCGCGGACGAATGGCAGCGAGGGC